CCCCCCCCCCCTGCAAAAACAACCGCAAATGTGAATTCTTAACAGCCGTGCTGCATTTTTCAATAAATCCTTGAGGCATCTGTAAGTGGATAGAAAGAGCAGCTTTGCTAATTGCCTCTACGAATCCTTTGGTTTGTGCAGAGCCTCCTTCCTGCTGCTTCTCAGCTCTCTGCCATTAGACATACTTGGTTGCACTGGGTTTGTTCAGAGGCCCGGGGCCTCCAATCACTGTCACCGTAGTTCATGACCGACGCCGCGGATGTTGTAAGGCCCTTTTTTATTGGACGGAAGTGGGTGACTCTCTCTGTGCTGCTGCTTGCCCTTTGATGAGGCGTGTTTGTGCGGATCACAAATGTAAATCCCCAGAAACTGTTTTGTTTAAATTAGAGAGATGTTTCATGTTTTGCATCAGTAGCAAAACAAGCCAGAGTAACATTAAGTTGATCCTCTTCTTGTGTTGTTATGCTGTAAATACTAATAAATAATTGTAAATGTCGCAAGTTAGGGGCTTCACTGTAATTAATAAGTAATAAGGAACAGACTTCGGTGATGTTCTTAATTACACAAACACAACGAATCCTGCTTTGTGACCATTATTTATCACTCCTTAAATACCACCGTTACTCATTATAATTAGGCTTAGGATTTTTAGGGTTACTGCAATTAATCGTAATTAAGATACCACAAGAGCTTGTTTCCTGATGGTCTACCTTGCAATTAATTACTAATAATTTCACAGGGAAGTATTTTGAATGTAATTACACTGGCGAAAGCTGTGCAGCTGGGCGACTGAACATCCATGCGTTTTATCACGAGCGCTTGTCTCTGTGTCTGGTGACATGGTGCTAGAGACTGGGCTGTATCTACAATCATGCAGGCACAAAAAAAGAATTCTGATTCTGATTTAAATCCTGTTTTGCTTACACCACACTCTCCGAATCTCTTTGCAATTTTCATCAATCTTGACTATTTTCCAGTCGCCACCTAATGTTCAAGAGGGGAATTTGGCTTAATGTAATTATACCGTTATTGTTTAAGCTTTGAGATTATAGCGCTAATGTATTTACTGTCTGCTGTTTAATCCTCTCAGACACATGCATATTTGTCATGTTTGTTGTGTCTTCAGGCCTAACTGGACTTCTGTTGTGTGTCTTCTTACATTTATTAAGTTTAATGAGATTAACTGCTAGAGGTTTTTTTTGTCTCTTTTTCCCGGTGTATTTCCAAATTAATTATAACAGCAAAACGGCACTCGGATTATTTTCAACCCTAGCTTGACTTGGTGGAGGGATACAGTCTGAGGCTGTCCCACGTAATCGGCGTGTCGGGTCGGGGGGGGTGGGGGTGACGAGCCCAAGGCTGAGTGCGTTTGTCGAGCCCCTGTGGGGCCCCTGTGGTTTGGAGGCCCTCTGCTGCCAACAAACACTCACTGCACTAAATATTAAATGAGCTTGTTGCTTATTTAGAAGACACTGAAGCAGCATTTTTTGCTAACCAGCTAGCCAACATTGATTGTCTGTACTTACTAGCTGTGTATTTAGTGCTTGAAAGATATGGGGGGGGCCCTGAAGTGACTTTTTTTAGTTGGGCCCCAGAAATACTAAACCACTCCCTGCATGTGCCGCCTATTGCCTGTATGCCTCAGATGTCAAGGAGGACAGAATTTAAATAAAAACAAGACTGACAGTAACTAACATAATGTATTAGTGTCCTTAAATATTTCTAGTCCCACATTTGATTTTTCTTTCTTCATAATATCTTTCTTAGTTTTAATCACACCCTGTGTTACAGGTACGTGGGCAGGCGGGGGGAAGGCTTCCTTAAAGGGCCTAATGGGCGGCGGCACTGCTCATAAACGGTTGGGAAAGCCGGCGCTCCGAGGCTAGTTACGGGAACGCTGATCCTGAATAATCGGTGTATGCCTGTCAGAACCGACATCTCCCTACCAGGCTCTGTACAAATACCGCCAATGCCAGTCAGCCCACTGGGCCAGTGTTTCCCAACCGGGCCCTTGGGGACCCACAGACAGTCCACATTTTTGCTCCCTCCAGGACCTGGGAGCGCCAGACATTCTTAAGTCACACCTGCGCAGTCCTGCCACCAGCTGTAGTCAAACTGCAGGATTTACAGTGTCCATTACAGTGTCCATTACAGTGTCCATTACAGTGTCCATTACCTGCTATTTGTTGGCACTGAAGAACAAAATCACACTTTGGTCTTTTCCAAAAGTTTTTGGTTTAACATTCACACCTAATTGTTGACCTTACCGGGTTTGGGCAACAAATATCGGCTAAGCTGAAGCGGCCTTCGGGAATGTTTACACATTTGTGATGTGTGATATCTGCCGTGCAGCTTGTCGGCAGCCCAGGCGCCCGTGAGGATCCCGGCTTTGGGATTTACGGCACGGGGGAGCATCGGAGGCAGGGGAAGCTGGGAGAGCGCAGCAGGGGTGGGATCACTGAGCAGAACGCCACCATTCTCTACTTAATTAGTGTTTAATTAAATGATTGATGACTTGAAATCGTCGATAGTGGGCATTGTAATTCTTTATTTACCATATGATAAGAAAAATAAATATTTATAATAAACTATGATTTTAATTAAAAAAAGTGTTGCCTTTTCTTCATTCTTACAAATAATTAAATATTATTTTTGTCTCTTTTTTATCTTGTGTTTTGGGGAAGTGTCTGTGATAATTTACTTCATATCTGATCATGTAAGCCGTCGGGGAAATCATTTCCCATTGCCTGTCTTCCTCACTTCCTCACCTGTCATTTCCCATTGCCTGTCTGCCTCACTTCCTCACCTTTCATTTCCCATTGCCTGTCTGCCTCACTTCCTCAGATGTCATTCCTGTTGTTTCAGGAAAGTGACAGCCTTTGGTGGGATGCCTTTTCCACGGAGTTCTTCGAGGATGACGCCACGTTGACACTGTCCTTCTGCCTGGAAGATGGACCAAAGAGATACAGTAATGGCTCTCCCTTTGACCCACCCCCCCCACAATGCCTCCGTCCCTGCACACTCCCTGCTGTTTAGGATTCTTTGTTGGATGTTGGCCAGTAGTACAGTTAAAGTGACATAACAGCAAAACACATCAGCAATAAATACCCATGAATTTCCTGTGATAGGCGGTATAGAGAAGATGAGAAGCTGTATTTTATATTTCTCACCAGACAAACACTTATGTGCGTCATTTGTTTTCTTCTTTTTTGTCATTCCACAAAGCCAGCAAACATGGGATGTAGCACTGGTATTTCACAAACACTGGTATTTTGCATCACTGGTATTTTACAGTGTACAGTGCATCACAACTGTAGTTCAGATTTGGTAATGGCACCGGGCCAGGCCTACCAGCAGGACCGCAGTCTCACAGCCGGCATTTTACACTGCACTGCCATCAGACTGTGATAACGCAGCGTGCTCCCCACCCTGCAAGCCGGTGCTATGGCGACCATGCTGTGGAGGTGTGTGTCTGTGTTGCTGTGCAGTTTATGTGTGATTGTGTGTATGAATGTGTGTGTGTGTGTGTGTGGTCCAGTTACACGTTACATTGTGGGGACCAAATGTTCAATGATAAATACCTATTATTTTGATGTTGTGGGGACCATTTTTCCTAATTGTTTTGCGTGATTGCATGTTCTGTAATGAAGACCCTGCCTGGTCAGATTAGGCAAACACAGCCATCTATCTGAATTCATTATAAACAGGCAACTGTGAGCAAAATAGCAGAGAAAAGCCCCTTTGCAGTGCCCGGCCGACCCTCCTGCCCCACTCCAGTGCCCAGCCGTCCCTCCTGCCCCTCTGCAGTGCCCGGCCGTCCCTCCTGCCCCACTCCAGTGCCCAGCCGTCCCTCCTGCCCCTCTGCAGTGCCCGGCCGTACCTCCTGCCCCTCTGCAGTGCCCAGCCGACCCTCCTGCCCCACTGCAGTGCCCGGCCGTACCTTCTGCCCCTCTGCAGTGCCCAGCCGTCCCTCCTGCCCCTCTGCAGTGCCCGGCCGTCCCTCCTGCCCCACTGCAGTGCCCGGCCATTCCGCCTGCCTCCTCTTATTATTATACATATGATGCTACCAGGATAAAACAACCTTCTGATGTAGGGGGGACGCTGAGGACATGGACGGACCCTCCGTATTTGTCGATGGCTGAGACTGGGAGCGGCCTGACTCATGGAAGCTTCCGGAAGTTTGTGGGTCTCTGGTGTGGCTTGGGTGAAGGGCGGGCAGGTTTGGACAAAAAATAACCTGACTGGTAAAACAGGAGGCTAAATTGATTCTAAAATTCTAAATTTAGTCTAGAATCATTGTACCTGGGCCCCTAGGACCAGCATTAGTGCATGAGGTGACGTCTGTAGGTGGAGACTAGTTAAACAAGCAGTGTGGGATTAGTGCTGGTTAACCAGCCTTTTTCTCTCCTGGCTTTTTTTTAACGAGCCCATTTCCCTACTGCTCTTCCCTGACTGTCATTGCCCTTTGCCTGGACCTTAATTCCCTCAATACTGCCGTAATACCCTTAATATGGCGGAAAGTTCTGAAGTGTTTGTTTGTCTGTCAATTTCCCACTTCTGTGATTGGTTTGATGTCCACTAAGCCCTTCAGTTACTCCTTAAATGCCTGAATGGACTAAATTGTTGAATAACTTAATGACAGTATATCATCTTGATTCAAGCATGTTCAACAGTCAAATATGCTTCTGGGAGTTTAGGCTGTATGTTTTTTTTTGCCTCCGTAAGCTTACTGTGCAACTGAAACTTAGGAAAACTTAGAACAGCTAATATTTAGGTATGGTAGCCTGCGAGAAACACTGAACTAATTAGCAGGTGTTTCCTGGCATTGAGTATCCCATAAGTGGGATTTCTAAGCGGCATTCATTTATCCGAGAGGATCTGACCTGGTCCACAGCTGGACATGGTGTTCCATGATGGCCAGTCAGAGAACAGTAAGGAAGAGTGTAACTTTTAGGGACACTATGAACCACCTGTTTGTGCTGGAAAATGTGGGCAGAACAGCTGGGGTACGAATATTGCAGCTTTAGGAGATTCACTGTTAACCACAATGGCAGATTCTGGAGTGATTTCCCACAAATGGTGGTGTTTCCTGTCCAGGAATGATGTCCAGCAACTATCCAGACATCTGTAGCATCTGTGTCAATAGATGAGACTCTTTTGGGGGGTGATGCTGTTATTCTGTTCATTTTGCAAGCTGTTTGTGCCCACAGAACTTCGGTAATGTAAGCAGAGGTGAAGATTTTAGGGATTGTAATCCACACAAGCATCCGTCTTGTGATCACTTATCCTGACCAGGGAGCGGCAGTAATGAAAGTTTAAAATGCATAGTAATCATCACCAGTATCTCAGTCTAGTGTAAAGTTCACGTTTGATTAACTGTGTTCTCGTGATAGCTGCAGCTTAAACAAACGAAAATAGCATAAATGATACTTCACGGTAAAAGTCACAGCCGTTCCTCGGGAAAAGGTTACCCGTGCGTGAGCTAAGGAGCTCCGTCTCACAAGTTTGTTTTTCTCCCGAAAGCGCTACGTCGTGGCATTGAACGTGAGTCGATTATAGGCGCTTGTGTTTGTGCATTGCAATGCGTGAATTATTAGTCTCGCTCGTTAGGCTTTTGCCGTCAATTCATTCAAGTTTCGTACATCCTACCCCCATCCCCCCCCCCCCCCCCGGCGCTCGCTGTCAGCTGAGATTAATCGCGTCCGCCGTGATTTGCCCTTCACAGGGCTACACTAACTTATTCCCATCAATGAAGGTGGTACCGGCAGTCAAACCATGCATCTGTGTGCGCCCCCTATTGGTCACAAACAGTCACAACACTAAATATTAAGTAAATGTGTCCCTTATTTAGGAGATGCTGAAGCAGCACGTTCTGCTAACCAGCTAGCTACCATCTTCTGACTGTACCTGTTGACTATTTGTTTAGTTTTTTGTGACATCTGAGGTAGGGCAGGGCGGCAGGGGAACTTCGAAGCTCCAAGCCCCCCCTGATCACAAACGGCTCAGGGAATGAATACATCTCACAGGTGGGTGTGGGTTTCGGCCCGTCTGCTGTCCCTTGGAAGGACATTGTAAAGGTGGATGGAGGTCTTTGGGTGTGAATCCCTACAGCGCCTTCAGATTAGCTGGAAGCGTTCATTTTGTGGTGGCTTTTCGAAGCTGCGGTGTTTCCTCACTGGGTCGGTCTGTCAGCGTTACGCAGATGAACGCTGATCCAGGTTCCTGTGTTACCTGGGGATGCCGTCGGCCAATCAAAACAATGTGGCCGGGGCTAATCTAAGCGGATGGGGGGCCAAATCACTTTGAAACCGGTCTTTTCAGTGAAGTATCTCAATTGGCCCTATTTGACTACCCATAAACTCGGGCGAGACATTTAATGATGTCTTCACTGTCCTTTTTAATACAATCGTAGCTGTTTATGGGTGGTTGCATATTGGTGGTTGTGTGTTACTGAGGATTTGCTGTCTAGTTAGCTATTTAAGTGCAATAATTATAAAATTATGCATACATTAATATAACGATAAACGCATGCATTCTCACTTTCAGTTTTTCCCATTTATACTTTGTCACAGAACTGAAAACGGAGCTTAATGATTCTTTATTCTTTTTTATTTGTCGTGTTTAGTTCAGGCGTGACATGGTATCTCCCTATGCCCCTCGCCATGGTCACAGGCACGTAGACATCTGTGCGCCATGCCAGTTCTGTGCCATGCCAGTTCTGTGCCATGCCTGTGCTGTACGCCATGCCG